AAATAGTTGGTTCCATCAGTTTAACCGTGGTAACAGTCAACAAAGAATCAGCTGGGGTTCCCAAATCATGTCCATATTCAGCAATATTTTTAGTCTCAATATCTGAGGAGTCCATCATGTAAAAGCTTCAATTAGGGTTCCGATCAATTTCTACCAGTGTACTAAATGTTAATGAACTCAGATTAGGTTAAATTGGCCTCGAACACAGCAACTCACAAGGCCAACTCAGACCTGACAGCCGTGAGAACCAAGCTCGGTAGCAGCTCTTTCAAGAAGATGATGGTCTGATTCAGCCTTCAAGAGGTAACCAGCAGACCTCCGAATACTGTGTACCCGATTGGAGTACCTTTCTAGTTAGGGATTCTAAGTTCCCAACATTAAGTGCCCTAAGGGGCCTTTTTACAAACATTGTGTAGGCAGCAGTGAACACTCTACTGTCACCAATTTAGAACCACTTCAAGAGCAGTCCGTATAGGTCCAAGAAGCAACTGAACTGAAGTAAGAACTTGTACCACTGAGTCCAAAGAGGTTTTGGCAACTTAACAGCCCAACAAGGTGAGAAAATAACTCAGAAATCTCTGAGTTAAATCAGGTTAATCACAGCCGAACAGCTGAACAGATTTAAAGGGGTTTCGAACACTTTAACAGTCCCCCAAACCAGAAATATAACCCAGGAATAACTGAATGCAACTTACAGTCTTGTTAATCTCTGATTTGAGCTCCAAATCAGGCCGAACAGTCCTTCTCTCTGATTCTTCCTGGTCACCGAACCACTCTCCAAGCTATTAGAGCCCTGTGCACCCTCCAATGACCTCCAAGAATCAGGCGAACAAGTTTAAACTTCCAGCCCTAGAACACCCTCATGCAGTCGGCTGGACTATACCCACATGAGAACCACGCCAAGCTCAGGCCTGCTCTGATACCAAGTTGAAAACAGCCCTTCGAAGTATGGGACTGTATAGGATTAGATGAAAAACAAGAAAGGTAAGAGAGCTGAAAGATTGGTGAAGTATGAAGAGAGAGAGCTAGCGGCAAAGAGGGTTAGAGGATGAGAGATTCGAACTAATCCTCCCCTCTAACACTCTAACATTATTTTATTAAGTTAATTCTTGAATAATTACAAGAGAGGCCCTTGGTTGGGCAAGAAATTACAAAAAAAGCAGCATAGAAGAGGATGGGCCCAGAATAAGGCCCATTACAGAAAAGAACATAAATATAACATAGAATAACAGCCTATGGGCCATTCGGCCCATCTTCTCTACATTATTCAGATCTGAACCTTTCTTCTTGCTCAATTCTTGGGTCCATTTTGGCTTCCCATGAAGATCCCAACATGTTTCTTGGGTGTGTCGGGGTTCTAGCAATGGGTGCACCATAGTTTGTCTTTGTCTTCCACCCTTTTTTGAAGGTCCCCCTTAAAAAAATTTCCCCCACCTGTAGTAACATTCCCTTTTGCTGCCAATACAACTGCATCCTCTCCGGAGCTGTTCATTAAATTTCTTTTACTTTCTTCTGATTGTACTAATGCATAAACCTCTTGGACAGATGGAAGATCCTTGTTGCCTAGGATCTGGACTCTAATGGATTCATACACTGGGTTCAAGCCATGGAGAAATGCAAACACTCTTTGTTGGGAAACAAGCTTTTCGTATACTTTTGCATCTTCATCACACGTCCAGTCTACACTTTGATAGTGATCTAACTCCTTCCAGATGGAGGTCAAGTCTGAATAGTACGCAGAAAGGTTCCTCTCTCCCTGTTTACAAGTGGATGATTCTGCCTGTAACTAATAGATTTTTGCATAGTGACACAGTTCAGAATAGGTCGATTTTGCCTACTCCCAAATCTCATAAGCCGTTTCAGCCCACATAAAGTTCCTTTTCACCTGAGGTTCATAGACACCAAAATCCGGTACATAACCATGTTGTTTTCTTGGTTCCATCTGTCATACCCAGCACCTCTGGAATTCGGTTCTTTAATTTTCCCATTCATATACCCTATCTTTCCCCTTGCAGTAATGTATAACTTGATCCCCCTCGACAATTCTAAATAATTCAAGCCATCCCGGGGTATAACAACCATAGGGAAGGATAAATCTGTGTAGAGAACATTGATGTGGGCCCCACAGCTGTGGTCCCACTCTGTCCGTAGGGTAGAATGTGTCTAGTCACAGCTGTGGTCGATTTATGATTCTGTTATTCTAGTTGTTTTCAGTTTTATATTGTTATGTGTTATGATGTAAACACCAAGGGCAGATGTGTCCTTTCATGTAACTAGCATAACATATAAATATTAAATTAAAGTGGCGGCGGCAGAATATTTGACATTCTGTTCTTCTCCTCAAAACTGTGTTCTACTGCTCTCTCACCACTCTTTCTCCTCCTTCACTTTCTCTTCTCTTCGAACCTGAAGTTTCTTAGTGATCAAGACTGATAGCAGTCTTGAACAACTACAATCTATACCCCCACTTATTACGTTCTGCATTGAGGAGACTCCAGATGTGGAAGAGTCTTCACCACTCATAATCACAACTTCAAGTTACACTCCAAGTGAACACAAAACCCCTAAAAAAAACAGCCGAACACCCCAATAAAACTCTTTGCACCAGGGAATTAGAGACAACCACTCCCCTCCTTTCCCCCTTTTAAATCTCAGTTCTTCAAACAAAATCAGCTGTTGTTACAGAACTAACAGGTCATCACTGGCCTACCATAAATCAGGTATGGCTGCTGTTGCAGCATGTACAGGTCCTCTCTTGACCTACAAATCAAGTGTGGCTGCTGTCGCAGCATATACAGGTCATCCCCTGACCTACAAATTCATCAGAAGGTTGCTGTCGCAGCATATAAAGGTCATCACCTACCTACAGTCTGTTACAGGGATCATTCGATCCCACAAAAAAGGAAAGAAGGGGGTGCTGCTCCCCTCACATTAACTAACTGAACCTATTACAGGTTCTGTTGTGGCACACGACCAGAAAAAATAAAAAAAGGAGAAAGGGAGAGAGAGTACTTCAGTCCGATGCAGAAAAGAAAACTGGATCTGGATCTTCAATAAATCTCACTGTAGATGGCGGAGGAAGAAGACAGAAAAGGTTTACTCAATCTCTTCTTTCAGATCTGACAGTTCCGCTCTGATACCATGTTGTCCAGAAGAGAAGAAGAAAGGAAGAGAGAAGAGAGAAGAAATAAAAGAGATTTTAAGTCTCAAAGAGATGTTGGCGGCGCCAGCTTTTTATTATTTATACTAGGGCGACACAACTTAAAATAAAAGATGCTGAAAGTACCAAAGTACCCCTGCGGTACTAAACTTACAGAATAATAACCTTTCAACAAGTTCAAATCAGATTTTATATGTAATTAGAAGTTGCAATTTGGAAGGAAGGATTTTGATGAAATAATGTTGGCTATATGCTGCTGTGCAATGTCATAGTCGGGGTTAAGTCCAGCTAGAAACTCAAAAACCCTATTCTTCTTTAACAGTTTCTGGTAAGTTGCTGCATCTTTGCTACTTTTCCAAACCACAGTCTCCAAATGATCAATCTCCTGCCATAAGGTTTTGAGGGCTGAAAAATAAATAGCAATAGACTTATCTCCCTGTCTGGTAGCAATTACCTGGTTCCTCAAATGATAGGCTCTAGCAACATTCTCATTCTGTGAATAAGTTTCTGCAACTCCATCCCAAATTTCCTTAGCTGTGTTATCCCATAAAAAGTTTTTACTTATATAGGGCAACATGGAATTGCACAGCCAAATCGTTACCATATAGTTCTCCTATACCCATTAGGAGCAGTTAGTTTCGAGCTTTTCTTCCTTTTAATTATATACTCATAAAAAGAATGTACAAGTACAAGTATGCCCTTAGTAGGTCGGCTACTTGTAAGAAGCTAAAAAGAACCACTTAAGACTTAACATAAACAAATGGGCCTAAGGCCCAATAACTACCTAACTGAATTATGTAAATAAAAAATAAATAAAGTCGGCTCAATAAGAGAACATCGACCCAATAACTCAACACTTGGTGAATTCTGCTTGTTGCTAGTTTTTTTTTTCTCCCTTTTTGTTCATTTGTTTTTTATCTTCTACTTGAATAAAACAGAACTGCTGCTGTGTAATCTGAGGAGAGAAACACAGGTTTGAAGAGGAGAGTGAGAGAAAAGAAGAGTGGAAGGAAGGAGAAGAGAGAAAGAAAGAAGGGGTTCAGTTGATTGATATCTGCCGCCCCATACACTTCATTATTTATAGCTTTCGGTTCCTTACAAGAATAGGAGATAAACAAGAAATCCTAGTTCTAATAAAACAAAAAATATAATATGGATAAGGCCAGCCGGCCCAATCTTAAAAGGAATTTAAAATAATTCGGTGTGGGTATGGAACCACACATACTAGAGCCTGAGTGTGGGTATGGAACCCCACACTCGTGGCTTACTAACTATTTCTTCACTTCTCTCACCCATCTCTTCTTTATCTTTGGCGCTTACCATAACATTAAGAGCTATTCTCTTTCTTTCTGATCTCTTTCTCATTCTTTGGTGGACAACAAGCTGTCTACTTGCTTCTCCATGCTTATTCATCCAAAGTCCCTCCTTTTAGGCCTAAGTTTACCACTAGACCAGATCTGAAAGTTTAGGACCCCCTACCTTGTCTTACATCACACTGATTCTTGATGGCAATGTGATGGGGTTGCTGCCCTGTTTCCTTTACTAGGAAAAAAAATTCCGAACAGCTAACCATTCTTTTGTGTATCATTAGTATATTGTGTACACACTCTACTCATCAATAGGTTCTTTGTCATACCTTGGGAAAATTTACATGCCCATGCTTTACATGATTATCTCCATTTTTTTGATAATGTCTATATATTGTTAAAATGAGTTGGAAGGCACATTTGTTGCACATGGTATTAATAATGAATATATTTTCTGTGTATTGTTCTCATGGAATTGGGATATCTGCTTATATGGTAGTAGACGTATTTTCTGACTTAATGTTTATTCACAGATCTACACAACTTGGCCATAATCCCAACTATTTGGGGTAAGCTACATGGATCCTGTCCTGCCATTATGTTCTATCAAGATTCATGCTTTCTGTCAAGTTTTCTTACATTCCAAGTCTTGATAAATGAGAAGGGTTGTCTTAGGTTGGAAGTAGGCATAATCAAAGATCCTCCCACGGCCCACATGACATGCCACCCATCAAGCAGATACTCAAAGCTCACCCAACATGACACCCCTAAACATTCTACTCCAAACACCACCCACCCAACATAAAGTATACACCCCCTTCCCTTTATAATCCTACAACCACCTCTCTGGCTCTCTAAACTACAAATTCAATCACCCTTGCAAATTCAACCATGCCATGTAAGCTTTTGGCTGAGCTCAAGACTTAATTTAAATATAAACTGTACATGTTTATTTAGAATCTCCCCCCCCCCCCCCAAAAAAAAAAAAAAGAAAGAAAAAGAAAAAAAAATGAGCAATACATCCAAAACTGAGCTTTTGGATGTATTTCTCAGTTTCTGATTTACACTGAAGCTGAAGGTTTTTCTGGACTTTTGCAGGCAGCAAGTTTGAGAATTGATGAGCAATCTGCATTACATCCAAGCTTTCGGTAACATTGCCAAGGAGGTCAGTAGTGGACTTGCTGTACTTTTAAGGGAGTCTTCCTGCACTTGTATGATTTGGTTTTTCAAAATTAAAAAAATGCCACATTGGCAAAAAGTATGATATGCTGATATTACAGTTCTTTCTTTAAAAAAACAAAATCATAAATGTTGGTGAGCACACTCTAAACATTTGAAATAGTCCATGTTGTGATGAATTTGTTGTTTTCTGCCTTTTTGTTTGCTTCCTCGGGGGATAACAATGTTGCTCCCTGGCATTGCTACCAATCCTGTAAGTATGCTTGTCTCGGGCTCTTACCATATACAAAAGTCTGATTGACAACAGTTATGGTATTGGCCCCTGTGGGGCATCCCACTCTGATCCCCTAAAGGCAACATGGACAGTCATCATTCTGTGCAAGGTGGAGCTGAGATCCGTGCACTCTAGATGCAAAAGATGAGGTTGAATAGAGATAACTAATTTTCTCAATCATATGCAATGAGAAGCTTGGTGCATCTATAAACTATAGAACGATATACAAGTTTTAATGGAGTCATTGGTTCAATTAAATTAACTATACATTATTCTTTTGTACTTATAATTTTTGAGTTGTAAACCAAGGATTAAAGGGCGCAATGTATCGGTGTATCCATATATGCTTGCATTCACTGATATACAAATATTTTGAAAATTTTATAGTGTCTCGGGCCTCTTGTGGGACCTTACTCTTTCATTATTATAAAATAAAAAAATCAAACAAAATAAAAAAGAGTATCAGCCATATTGATACGCATTGATACCCATGCTGGGTATCAGTATCGATAGGGGTGGATTCAAAAGCTCACAAGTTTGAGCTGAATTTGACTGTGAGTCAAGCTTTCTATAAAAAATAAAAATTATACATTTAAAAAGTAATTTTTTTATTTTACATACAAAAATTAAGAATTATAAAAATTATTTATTATCATATATATAAAAATAAAAATATTTATTATTATACATAAAAAATAAAGAAGATACATATAAAAAATTGTTTTTATTTTACATACAAAAAATTATAAAAATTATATGTATGTATGTACATATAATAAAAAATATATATTCATGATCTTGGCTCAATTAACAAACGAGCCTATATATCGGGCTTGAGCTCGGCTCATAGCTTGGTTTAAATCAAGCCAAATCGAGCTTTTCACGAGCCAAACTCGAATAGCTCATGAAAAACTTGATTCATTTCCACCCCTCGGTATCATTGTGTATTGATATTTTAATCAAATATCAACCTAACCAAATAAAAATGCTAACTTCTCAAGTTAATCATAACATTGATGAACAATCAACAAATTTAATTATCAAATTAAAAGGGAAGAGGAAAATATGTTTCCAAATCATTCAAAAAAGAAGCAAAATTATCTTCAGCAAGACACTAACAAGTCTCTACACCACTAGCTGATACATTTAAGGGTGGCCCACTGGTTGAAATCTTCGGAACTTTTCACATTATTCTGTGGTTGATCTGTTGAGAAATTGGAAAGAGATAGCTAACTCTACCCAAATTAAGAGGATTCCTAACTAGGGGTGTCCATGGTTCAATTAACTGAACCATGGACAATTTTTCAAACCGAACCCGTCCTATCGGTTTTTCAATTTCTCCAAACCGAAACTGAATCGGTCCTACTGGGTTTTCAATTTCTCCAAATTGAAACCGAACCAATGCCACCGGTTGATCGGTTTGCCAGTTTCAGTTCTTTGGTTTTTCGATTTTTTATATTTATAATATATATTATATAAATATATGTATGATATTATATTATAAATAATAAATGATATAAAATATATTATAAATATTATAAAAATATATAATATATTTATAAATAGATTATTATAAATATAACATATGTGTATATTTATATATATGATGCATATATATTTTATATATAATATATAGAAAATATGTGACATATTAAATATATATAATATATACATATAAACATATATACTAGTCGGTTCGGTTAACCACCAATTTTTTCTAGGTTAACCGAAAACCGAATTGGTCCTTCGGTTTTTCAAAAATACCGAACTAATCGGTTCGGTTAACCACATCTTTTAGTTTGGTTTTCTTGGTTCAGTTCAGTTTTTTGGTTTTTCAATTTTTTATGGACACCCCTACTCCTAACCACTCTTAGACCTCTCCACCCTCTGGGTTCATAAAATTGAACTTTGATGGTATAAATATAAGAATCCAAGGCCTTCCAGGATTGGAGGAGTGTTTAGGAATGATGAAGATTATTCTTGCCATGCTTTCAGGCCCAATTGGAGAAGATGACTCTCTTAGGGCTAAGATCTGTGCGGCTCTGGAAGGAATCTAAAGAGCAAGAGTGTTGAACATTAGAAGATTGGTCATTGAAGGTGACTCAAAGGTGGTGGTTAGATGGTTAAAGGAAGACAATAGTGGCATGTGGATCTACAACAATGAAAAGAAAAAAATTCAAATGACTTACTAGGGACATTGAGATGAAGTACAGTTGGGTGAAGAGAACTGCTAACTCAATTGCTAATGGGTTAGCCAAGCAAGGAGTAAATAGGGATTCTTTGTTTTAGGCTAATTTCTAATTCCTCTTTCATTGTAATATGCTGGTGGGGAGTTAAGATGTTTTACCATGGTTTTCAAAACTGGACTGGACCGGATGGTCAGATTGGAAAAGCCAAGAATCAATCACCTAATCAGTTTTGTTTCACCCTAAAACTACTTTTGGCTAAAAACTGTTGATTTGGTCAGCGAATTGCTAACCTGGGCAATCAAACTGTTGAACCATCAACCCGAACAACGATTTTGATCATTTTTTATTTTTTAGTTAGAAAGGGCAGTCCAAATTAGATGATCAAACCATTTGACCCGACAATTGGTCCCCAGAACAGTTCCCTATCCGGTTCGGTTTTAAAAACCTTGTGTTTTAGCTCCCCCTCTTGTAATTATACTTTCATATCTTTAATAAAGCTTATTGTTATTGATAAAATAAGACTAACAAGTCTATTTTTTCACTTTAATCTTATATGAATCTTCAAAGTTGTTCATATAATTGAATTAATAATAATGTTGCTAACAAAATTGATTGTACTAATGAGCCTTCATCATTATGCTCTAACCATTAATGGGGAATTTATGCACTTTTATACCAAGCCATTGCAGGAGTATGTTATTTCGCCTAATGTTCTTAGTATCTCATCTAGTAGAGCTACCCACAAGTTTGTTGGGTGTGCTTTATCTTGTTCTAAATTGTACGCATGGTTTTGTACTTGTTTATTTTGAGTTGTACAAAATATCAACCAAACCAATTGAAATTATAAACATCTCATTAAAATTCACTTATCAAATTCATCCAACTAAAAGAAAATTAACGAATATGATAAAAATGCTTTTAGGATTCCTCTCATTGACAAAATAGTGATTGGATCACAGATTCAATTGATCCAATCAATGATGGGTTGAAAACATTGAACTAAACAAAAGATTTAAATTTATTGTCCACAAGGGTGTATTTGCAACTATTCCAAACATTATTAATAATTATTCATTGTGTAGAATAAGGTGGGACCATTATAATTAAATAAAATTTTATAGTTCTATGTAATCTTTCTCATGGGCATGACTTGAGCTTGGCTTTTGCCAAAATTCTAATGGGCTTGGCTTGAAGCCTGAGCCTCAGACAATGCAAAGTTGGGCTCGAAGCCTAGCTTGTAAACATGTCTAGTTATATGGAGTCCATCAATCATTCCTTCTTACGAAAAATTTCTCAAATATGTGCAAATTTCACAAAACAATGTGATATGCGTAGGGGTGAGCAAACAGTTTGTTTGGTTTAAAACCAAACTGAATAAACTGAACTAATATAATTGGAAGCTGAACCGAAACCAAAGTTTGGTTAAACTGAACAAACCGAACCAAATTTTCTTCAGTTAATTTGGTTGTTACGATTAAACCGAACTTCAAATAGGTGGGTCATTTACAAAGACCTGTTATAACGTAAAAAAAAATTGAACATAAATATCAATTTGCAAAGAACTGTTATCAGTATTCATTGCTTCATAATTTCTATGATATGAGGAAACAATTAGAAATTTAGGAAATTACTATTATAAATTTTTGGTAAATTCCTAGTTCGGCAGCCGAGCTGGGAAGAGAGGAAGATGAACTGATGAAGGGGAAGGGGATTTGCATTTTTTCGAATACCCTAGTGTGCCAATTCTATTAAAATTTAGGAAATTACTAATTTACCTATGGAAGTTCGGTTTTTTTCGGTTAACCAAACTGATAAATACAATAACTGAAACCGAAACCCAAACTTCTAAAAAACCGATGTTTACAACGAATCGAACCAAATACCCGAACTAACCGACCCGAAAGCACTTAACCCGAAATTTTGATTCGGTTATTCGGTTTTAACCGATGTATGCTCACCCCTACCTATGAGACCAATATGAAACATTAAAAAATGGATAATGTAAAAATTCTAGCCAAGCCTTGAACTATATGATTCTTTTTAATTCTTCTATTTTTGGCATAGATTTTGCAGTTTCTTATTTAATCAAACAATATTCTTTATTTCTTCCAAATTGTTTTTGTTTCTTTATTCATGTAAGATCACTTGTATGCAAGTAAATATTAACCTTATATAATGTACTATATTTGGATTTAATTTTATGACCTTCATTGAAACCAAGGTATATGGAATTTTTTCTAAGAGTTGCATTAACTTTTGTTATGTTAAATTATAATAACTAAGGGAGATATTGAGTTTTTTTTATTAAAGATTAATTAATAGATATCTACTGTGATTTTGGTGTAGGTCATAAAAGTTAAATTTAATTATACAATGTTAACTTGTACCATTACCATTTATTGGCATACGTGTACAACACATATTCATATACTACTACTTAATAAAAAACAAATAAAGTGAAACAATGTGAACTTAAGATTTGTACAAGAGAAGCCTATTTTCTCTTGTTCTCTCTTCTTCTAGTTTTAGTCTTAGAAAATGCCTTTTATTTTATTGTTGTTTGTAAATGGATATAAAAAAGAAAGAGAGCTACCTCCATCTTCTTTACTTTTTTTTTCCATTCAACAACTTGAGAAACAAAGGTTGGTTCTATATTGTGTGTTGACACAAATTTCGCGTATAAATCTAAATACAAGAAAAATGCAAACAAATTTAAATAAATTGATATTCTTATATTTATGAAATAAATGGGATATAAATTCTTTGTATTTGAAACTTTCTACCAAAAGGGGTTGAACCTCCGATTCTCTCTTGAAGAAGTATTTATTGAAGATTTGTATTTGAATTGAAGTCGAGGATCAGTTGACGTGTTCCTATACTTTAGAGAATAGAGGAGATTGTTTCCTTCAATTGGTCTTGCTTCCTCTTTATCTAGACTTCAAAGGTGGTGTTACTTTCCTCTTTAGAAGATGTGTATGCTTCCTTCTTCCCCAAAACCTTTTTACTTTACCTAGTTTTTCTCTTTGACTAAAAAGTCTCCTCCCTCTTGATGGGAATCCTTATTTATAGACTTTTTGGTATAATCTCTTCCTCCCCTTGATCGAGGATTTGATTAATTCTTCTTACCCTTTTTAGAGAATAAAAGGTTGTAATTACTACTATTCTTAGATAAAATAATTTATCATCCATTGTTCTCTCTTTAATTATTG